CACCTACTCCCTACTCCTACTCCTACCCAGACATTTGCTCTAATCATCACCCTACTTTTATCGTAAACCTAATCTCCCTGGAATTGAGCACAAGATCACTTGTATTACGGGCGAGGGTTCGTACTTCGGTGTTCTATCTCCCACTGTAATAGTTTCCGATAAGCGGGGAGTTGTGCGACACTTCTGCTTGTAGTGAATATGTACTTCGTCCCAACAACATATTAGACCGTATTTCCAGACCCATAATTTGGCCTCAGTTATGCAATAGATGGCCTGTTCTAGTAAAGTTGGGTCGTTATGAAGGAGTATTCCCTGATTAACCATTGTATCAGGTCTCACCGTCTTGTGTTTAAAATGGCCCTGTCTTGAAACCTGACCAGAGAAAGGCTGATACTTTAAGACCTTCATTATATACTCCAAGTGGTGAATTTATTATCTTCCAGGTATTATCTGCCTGTTAACGGATTTTGCATCTGAATACCATGCCTCATGCCTCTAGCGTCAGTTTTTCCACTTTTGATGTTTCTTAGCCTACGATGGTCGCTGCTTGAATATCGAAGTTATGGCCAGTCTCTCGGATGTGTGCTGCAAGCCGCGAGTTTGGATCTAGCCTCCGAGCCACTATTTTGTGTTCGCGTAGACGGGTCTGTAATTTTCGTCCTGTTTCTCCAATGCAATTGCAGTCCCCATCGTTGCAACGTATCTTATAGACAACTTCAATAGTTTCAGTGGGGGGCAATCTGTCTTTAGGTTGCATCATACGGTGACGTATTGTCACCTGAGGTCGATGGGCTATGCCTGCTTTAGCGGATTATAACAGTCGAGAGACTGCTTCGGAGACTCCTTTTATGTTGGGAATGGCCCTCCAGATTTCGAGTTGCTGTTCTTTTGGCCGTCCTCTATTCACTGGGCGCTTGCCTTGTTTGATAAAGGATTTTGGCAGCGAACAAATAAACTCATTCAGTTGGGCACTAACATGATCTCTGCATTTGAGAAGATTATGAGGTTGATGCTGCACAAAATCTTAATCTGTCAAATTTGCCCTCTTCAGATAAAGAAAACGGACTGTCCTAAGTCTGCAGTAGGTTTCTGTTGCGTTATTTTAGGTTTAGGTGGTGGTAAACTAGGCCACTGACATGCGTTTGGTGTGCTACGCAGTTGCATTGAAACGAAGCGAAGCCGAAAATAATTGGCATGCCACAGAAGGGTGCAACTGTCAAACCAAGCTTGTATCGAGTTTGCTTGACTCGGCTTTTCAGTGGTTTATGATTGTAGAGAGAAGAAAAACAGACCGATTCAGCACGATTTTTGGCACGCGTTCAAGCTTCTCTTTAGGCTATTCGTTACCGAGATGTAGATTGCAATGACTCATTCGTTGTGTAGTCTCAGACTACTCTCGTCGATGTAAAATCTGGGTTTGTTAAATTTTGTCCGAATTAGGGAGTAGCATATCTGAGGCACAAGAGGGATTGACATTGAGCGCAAGGTAGCTTGTATTACGAGCGAAGGTTCGTACCTCAGTTTTCTATCTCCAACTGTAATGGTTTCCGGTGAGCGGGGAGTTGTACAACACTTCTGCTTGTAGTGCATATTTACTTCGTCCCAACAATAGTTTAGACCGCATTGTCGGACTCGTAATTTGGCCTCAGACAGGTGTAACTGTCATACCAAGCTCATATCGGGTTTACTTGACTTGGCTTATCAGTGGTTAATTATGGTAGATAGAAGAGAAACAGACCGGTCCGGCAAAATTTGTTTGCTACAATAAGCCTGGCACGCTTTTTAGCTATGCCGACTTGGTAGGTGACTTCCCGTGCTGACCGAGCTTAGCGTGGTATGCCTTTTAGAATTGGGTCAAATTCATGTTGACACTGGTGACCCATCGTGTCTGTTTACGTTGAAAGGAGGCCAATCACTGCTTTTTGTGGAATTAAACAATACGGATAGTGGGTCAAACTTGATAGATGGCTTCTCGTGACAGATATTTAAGTAGTAATGACTCATTCGTAGTGTATTCGTTGAGGTAAGATCTGCATGAGTGAAATTTGGTCCGTATTAGTTTAGAGAGCAGCAGGTCTGCGGTATAAGAGGGACTGGATGGGAAAGGGTGAATGCTTGGTCAGCCAATACACTCACCGCCATCCACAGTTGTAATTGGAACGTGAAAAGTGTGGGCTGATGAAGTGTAGCGGATGCTCTACAGGCCACCTCTACTGCCTATCTACCTACACTGCTAGCCGCTGTATAGCTGCTGGCGGAGCCCAAAAGTGAACCCCAAGGCA